ACATACATACATACATACATACATACATACATACATACATACATACATACATACATACATACATACATACATACATACATACATACATACATACATACATACATACATACATACATACATACATACATACATACATACATACATACATACATACATACATACATACATACATACATACATACATACATACATACATATACATACATACATACATACATACATACATACATACATACATACATACATACATACATACATACATACATACATACATACATACATACATACATACATACATACATACATACATACATACATACATACATACATACATACATACATACATACATACATACATACATACATACAAGAGGTAAGAGAGGTAAGAGCAAGAGTTTGACCAATGCCAAGATGGAAGAAAAACATCAGAGAAACTCTACAGTATCACGATGGGTCTTTGGTCGAAGCAGCCAGTAGAGCACGAAGCAGGACCTTATATCTCCCTCGACAACCGAAGCGGTAAAAAAAAAAAAAAAAGAGGACTTAAAGAAAAAGAAGAAAAAAAGTGCATTCCGGCTTGGAAATAAACATTCCTAATGAGATGATCTTTACGTCATGCTTTGGAGGAAGGCGAGTTGGGAAGGGAGGCAGCGGAAGGGGGTGGAGGAAGGGTGAGAATAGAGAGAGGGTCTTACTTGCAACCCAGATTTGCAACGCTCTCGGCAGGCGGCTTGTGGTTCCACCTAGAGAGACCGACCCTACGGAATAAAACCCGGTGCAATAAGTACATCCGCTTGACTCCAGACTTTATCTTGTAACCTGCGCAGAGATTACCTGTTTGAAATTGTTAACCATGTTTCAGCCAGCCCTCGCATCCCAGCATAAATATCCCGGTACCTCCTAGCTGATGGAAGCTTCTCTATAAACAAGATAATCACATGAACTTCACTGAAGCGACCTAGGTCGAAGACAGACAAGCAGCATATGTCCCCCCGCCGTCTAGACAAAGCCAGGTTTGTTATAAATGTATTCCTTGACTTGTTCCTTGCAAGACTCAGGTCTCACTCCACATCCTATTCGTGTTTTTCATCTGCATTACCTAGCAACATAGGAGAGGTGAGTACGTGTTGTATATAAGGAGAAGACAGGCTGTCGTATGAAATTATTTTACAAGCTTGATCAATTCTCTTCTCAGTTGAGATAACGCTCAATGCGAAGACATGGGGTGCATTTCATACATAGGCAAAGCATGCGGTTCGTAATTTTGACACAGTCTGAAATAAACATTAATGTCTAGATAATTTTGCTGTTGGTACGCAAACGGTGCTCAGTAAAGGAAAGAGGACCCTCTTCCGATTTGGGCATATAGGGCTAGACCTATAATTTATAGACCAATCGACACTCGGTGGGTGATGTTGTCAGCATTATGCTGGCCGCCTTTACTTTCCAGGAATAACTGGTAACAATTTAAGGTTGGGTCGATCTGGGTGCCAAGGTCATTTCCGAATATAAAGTCCGGCTCAGTTTGGATTTGAACCCACCACCCTGAAGGCCTCAGGCGTGAGTCAAGCCGCTACATCACGACGGCTCCCTAAGTGTACTCGGTAGCGGCTCCTTCTTTTGTGCAAGGGGGCTGCGTGGTCTTCAGGCATGGTGTACTAGAGGTTCAGGGTTCAATCCTTGGTAAGGGCTGTGATTTTTTCACGTGGACTTGGACTTCTAGTAATTCCCCCTGATCTCTGGGTAGTGAGACCGGACGCCCGTGTGCATTGCTGCGCACGTAAAAAAATCTCTTGGCAGTTGGAAATCGAAAAGAGTAGCCTTACGGCACTGTCCAGGCAAACATTTGGTGTTAAAAATCTAACCCCAAATACTTCAGGATCCTCGCTGGTGCTACAGAACCTGAGCACTGTACTGAGCTTCTTCGGACTCAGACTTGAGTTAGAAGAAAGAACGTAGCACTAATGGGTTACGACCCTTGTGTCATGATGATGATCCGTTATTCAAACCTCAAACCTTCTTTTTTAAGCATATGTTTTGTTCAGCGCTACTGTATTATAGATACTTTATATTAGGTACTGGTACGATTTTTATGTCACTTTCTGGTGAGTTAGCTAGACTTTCCTCTTGTGCCTAGGTCGGCACATAGGGCAGAGGTTACTGCTCTCCATATCTGGCGGTTCGTTGCCACCTGTTGTAGATCTTGGCTGTTCTGTTCATTAGGCCCATGGTTGAGCCTTCTCTGATGATGGCTCTACACAGGGTCTCGCTGGGTCTTCCCGTTTTCTTTTCCCTTCCGATGTCCATATGAGGGTTTGATGGGAGAGTCTTGCCTTATCCAGTGGTTATCTGAGTGGTGATTACCGACACTTCTTGTTGTTTTTTTCCCCCTAGAGGATTAAAGCCCTAGGAAAAATAACAGGATGATAGGAGCTCGGATTCTTTTGTTTTAAAAGATGTCATTGATCATCTCGAGGTACCTGGCTGAGTTGTGCAAATTATAATACTTGTTAGATGCAATACAATCAATATGACGACTTTGGGTACATTCTCAAACAAACAAACAACACACTAAAGTAAAATACCATAATATCCAGCTTTAGAATGGAGGTGGAGGTGGTCACTGCAGCTTTTCGCCTGTTAGAGAACACGACACGCACGCACACACGGATACACCCGTGACTGTTAGCTGATTCAGAAAGCATGCTGAGGACAAGCATGCTTTGTGCAATGTCATATTTCGCATTGGATGAGGAGCATTGGCTCCTGGGCTTGCCTGTGTTTTAGGAAATGAACAGGCGAACAGACAGACTGGCTGGCTCTGAGCAACTTGGTGGAATGTTAGTACATGATAAGGCAGACGTAGTCAGGGCATTGTGGGAGAACTTGTACAATTCGGAGGAGTAAATTGATCACCATAGTCTGGGGAGAGGGATGCAGGGAAGGGTGGGGGGGGGGGGGGGTGACAAGGGGATCTGGTCGATTCTCGACGCTCAGAGGAACAGCAAGACGGATGTATAATCAGAATGCTACTGTCACCATTGGTACTGGTGCTCTGCGCTGGCTGCTGAAGATGGGGACGGAGCGTTTATGACATTGTCGCGAGTGTTGTGACCTCGGTTCTTTAATTAACTCAGTTCAAAGTAAACAATTTTTTTTAGGGTCGGTGAATCATCTAGCGTGTGGTGCTACAAGGATATTTGCATAGACCCACTGGCATTCGATAGGGTGATGTAGTCCCTATCATGCCGACGACCGCCTGATCTTTTTAGGACTGGATAGATCAGGGAGTTAAGGTCAGTTTAAGAAGAATCCATATCGAGGCGGGTTTGAACCCAAGGTTTCGTGCTGACTGGCTGAGAGTCTGTCGGATACACCACCATAGAACAAGACAGTCAAACATCGTATTCTTTTCATCTATCTCGTTTCCAGTTACCACAATAAGCTATTAGGTTATTATAACTGCAAGAAGAGATGGCCTTTC